AGACAAATGTTATAATAAATCAAACATTTGTTTATTTCAATACAAGCTAGAGGGGGCGGGGGAGGGGGGTATAACTGGATATGTTTTTTTTTTATAGGTAGATGGGTGTGTAACTGGGAGGGCTTATATTTGGGGGGGGGGGAAGAGGGGTTATAAGCAGCAGTGTATGGTATTACACAATATGATCACATTTTCTGATAACCTGGCCTTCTACAGCGACCTACAATATAAGTAATAATAAGAATGACAATCAAACCAGCCAATACACAGCCAACAGCTGTCGGCACAATGGTATCAACGGGTTTGGCAGGATTTCCTCCAGCATTTGGAGAACAAACATCAGCTGAAAGGCAAAAACAAAAAGTAAGTTGGGTTTTTCATTACTTTGTTCACAAACAGTTTGTGAAAGTTACATAACGCATCTTATGTCTTATGAATTTTCTGAACAATGTTGAATGCTCCTTTTTAGATGTCTTCATGGACAAAGACAGGAGATAAAACAAAATTTTGAAGGATTATTATTATTTATTTTTTTGGTGGGGGGTAAGGAGAAAGGTTCAATTTTTTAAAAAAGTACAAAAAGTGAGGGCGTACCATTTTGTATGAAATTATTATTGTTATTATTATTACTACTATTATTATCCTTTTTTTGGGGGGAGGGAAATTTTGATACTCGACATTTCTCTGAACCCCATCCCTAAGCATACAGAACTTACCACGATGGAAGTACCCCACCCTGCAAGATGAGTTGTAGGTTAAAAAAACTGCAGCTGCACCATTACAAATACAACTCTTATATTAGCTTGCATATATTCTCAACACTGTTCAACATACATTTTCAAGGTACTGACTAGGATAATTTGTTTGTTAATCAAGCCATTTTTCTTGTCCTTTTCTTCTTCTCATGACTTTTACTATTGATTAAGCAATGATATTTTTGGAGAAATTACAAACTGATCACTGAATTGAAGAGTTAATCTAACCTTCACCAAACTCCTTTTTAGCATCTGAACCAAAAGGCTGCAGGTGAATCTGTTTAATCATAACTGTAACTTTCATTTTGTTTTTAGCCTTTAATGGTATGTCTTGATCCTGATCACACTTGAAGCTCTTGCCACCGGTGGCAGTCATCTTTAGAATGCTGGTGTCATTCTGCCAAGCACTGACTTCTTTCTCTAAAAACGTACAAAGCAAAATAAGAATAAACATGTATTGTTCACAGGGCCCCCAAAGGATTCAAACAATTACCAGAAATGCATTATGGATTTCCCTTCAACCTGATTAGCAAACCTACAATGGCGCATGGCCAACGATTTCTGTGCTGTTTCACAGACGGACTTACTAGTAACTAGACGTTTAGTTTTGTCTGTGGTGCAGATTACAGATGCAAAGCTGAGTCACTAAAGAATTGTTCTTGTTTAGACCATTAATGAATCTATTTATTCATTTATTTATTTATGGACATCTGAATTAAATAATACTATACTTTTTATATAATGTGTTATACACTGTAAAAACTTTAAATATTAAGAATTTATTTATTTGATTCATTTATATACTCAATATGCTTTTTGATTTTTCTTTTTGCTTTTGTTTTTTGTTTCTTATAGCATTAATATTTCTTTCTCTTTTTTTGCCTTCCCCACCTTTGATTAGATTTTTCTATTTGCAGGGAAACATTAAACATAGAAACCCTATTGTATAGTTGATGTGTTCCTAATAAAGTTTGTTATTGTTGTTGTTACCAAGATGGCACTCAGAAAGTTTCTATTATTGTTATAAGCTTTCCAGACTTTCCAGGTTAAGTCAATATGGGTGATTGTTCACTTGACTGTCCACCCTGACAAAAACAAGTGGCAGACACGATAGAGAGGTTACCGTCATAATATCATAGGTGACGAATTACTCCTTAATTTTGGTACGAAATTTCAGCGTTAATTTGTAATTTCACACGTGAAATTACAAAATTGCCATGGCAACCCTTCCGTACGTCTCAGTGTCAAGATGGCGACAAAGTTTTTAAATGCCATCAATGAAGATGTCAGGGCACAAAAAGACGCTTTAGAAAACCTGAACACACAAGAGAACATCAGGAAGGATTCCAAGGTATTTTGCTGAAAAAGTCTGAAAAATTCTGAACTTTATAAGCCAAATTTAAGGTCTAAACATTTGAGAGAGTGGAGTTCTCAATCGATACGATTCAGGATAAACATGTCAAAGATCCAAGATTGCTAACGTAATTCGTCACCCATGATATTAATAGGTAATCAAATGGTATCCTCGTGAAATAAGGGAATAATTTCACTTGCATTTTGTCCAAATCCTAATAATTTCCCGAGCCTTTGAGGGAAATTATTCCCTAATTTCACTCGTCACCATTTGATTACACATACTAATAAATAGAGGTCACTACTAGTGGAGCTTTCAGCTGTACAAGTACCTGTTGCATTGGCGACAAGAGGTTGATTATCAGTTCTAGCAGTAAACCCCAGGTTGGAGACAGTCCATTTCTCTTTCTGAACGTCAAGTATCATGGATATTGTTAAGTTTGCTGGTCCTTTAGACCATACAAGATTGATTTCTGATTTCTGATCAACACAAGTTCCACTGGCAGTGGCTTTCAAGGGCAGGTCATAAGTAACAGTTTGAACCTGAAATATATATGACCACAAACATTCAGACCTTTTTCAAAATAAGTGATTCACTAATTAGCTTATCACACAATAGTTAATTTAAAAAAGAAATTGATGTAATTATCAGTTTTCATGATTATGTTGGTCCCTCAAACAAGCAAGATAAATTGAATCCTGTGTTCTGATTGGCACCTGTANAGATTGATTTCTGATTTCTGATCAACACAAGTTCCACTGGCAGTGGCTTTCAAGGGCAGGTCATAAGTAACAGTTTGAACCTGAAATATATATGACCACAAACATTCAGACCTTTTTCAAAATAAGTGATTCACTAATTAGCTTATCACACAATAGTTAATTTAAAAAAGAAATTGATGTAATTATCAGTTTTCATGATTATGTTGGTCCCTCAAACAAGCAAGATAAATTGAATCCTGTGTTCTGATTGGCACCTGTATAAACAAGATGGGCTTATCTTGCCTCTTCTGGATTTCTCACTTCGGTTGTGCAAGTAAAAAAGTTTTCTTGGCCATATAATAACTCCTTTATTGAAAAAGATTGTTAGAGTCAAGATGGCTGAATATTGGCCTTTTTCATGTTTTTGTCGCTGTGAATATTTCATCCTGATTAGTACTACCCACACTGCTACATGATGAATAAGATCTTCAACATATCTATCAAAGTTTAAGCTGTAGTTTGTGAGCAAGTGAAGCCATTACAGATGTTTTTGCTTTGTGCTAATATTAAATAACAATATTCCTTTATTCTGAAATTCTACCTGCCACCTTCATGTCACTGCCATTAAGCAAAAGTCTTACTAATCCTTTAGATCTTGATACTTTGAATCATTAATCTTTTACTTAAAAGAAACTTGGATTTGTTTAAGCCATTGTTTCAAGCTAAGAAAGGTTATAGGCATCTAAAATGATAATAAAAAAATAAAAGTTGAATGATGACTCTTCAATCTGATAACCTACATCAATAATAAATAATAAGAATACCGTAAACTGCTGCACTTTTTCCATTCCAGTGATAATCCCCCTTGGATATAAGACCCTCTGTGTATAAACCCTCCTAAAACTTTTTATGAAGATGTATAAGCCCAGTTGTTTTAGCGGCAGTTTACAGTATTAATTTATGTTTAACCTTTAGTTTAGGACCTCAACAATATTTGTAGCATACTTTACTGTTGACATGCAAATCCACATTAACAGAACAAGATATGTCCAACAGGATACATGAGACATTGAAATGGCCCAGTCCCATGGCTGGAGCCATAGTAATTGGTAATTTAGGGGTGGTGGTAAGGCCGCTTGAACTTGACATAGGAATTGATGTTGTGTTATTGAGTGCAATGGTAACATCTAGTCTGCTCAGAATCAAACCTGGAGAGTAATCATAGATATTGGCCACAGTCAGACATTAATGCAGCATGTACAGTGGTTGATCAAGGACTTTGAATCAAGTGGAGGGACTTACTCCATATATCAAGTTTATAGCTACATTCACACAGCATCAGACAAATTTTTGACTGGCTGAAAAATTTGACCAGTCACTTTATTTACACCGAACTGTTCAAAATTTTAGCTCTGTTCACACAGAACTTGCCAACTAGCCAAGGTTGACTTTCAATTGTTTTCCAGTGGTTTTACAGTGCTACTTTAGTGAAACAAAACTAGCATCTAACAGCTGAGTTACCATGCATCCATGGAACCACGCTTTTGTAGTATGAAATTCAGACGGTTATGGTGTTCACAGCATGCACACTGCACTGGTCAAATTAGTCGTATAGCAGCTAAAAAGTTTGACCTTGGTGTTCAAATTTTGGACAGGCTAGACAAGAACAGAACACCTAAAAGCATAGCCTGCATAGCAGGGGTCGAAAGGGGTAGGGGATAGGGAGAAAGGGAAAGAGGGAGGGGGATTGGGGACAGAGGGTTAGGGATGCCTGCTATAAGAACCCCCTTTTGTTTAGTTCTGTGGACACTGGCATCTGAAAATTCCTGATTGGCTGAGCCATAATGAGTAACTTATTGGTGTGTATCCTGGCATGTATTAGTGTGAGAGACAAACATGATGAAGGCATCAAGGAAATGTGTTCTATTGGCAAAAGCTTTGGAAGAAAATTACTCCAACCATGAAGCATTACTTCATGTTAGAACCCAAACTAGAACCAGCTTCAATAGCTTGTTTAGCAGGCAGAGATGCTCAGGAGGTTTTTTATACTGGATTTTTCCAAACACCGAGAAGCGATTCAAAGTGATTGCGATTCTTGCCAGACGTCTGCAATGCCAATATTCACAAGACCACCTTTTCAGAAAAAACATATACTGTCTTGAATGAACTTCTAAATGGTTTGTACAGAGAGAGTTAAAGCTTTGGTAAAAACTATCCCTTGAGCTTTTTGATAATTGTTTATAATCTCCTTTCATTATTGGCGTCTCATGTTGGCAACTGTTCTGTTCTTTGTGACCATTGTGGTTGATGAGGTAAGACCGAAGGTCATGTGTATTCACACGAAATTGATCATTGTTTGTCGTACACTGCGAGCAGTAAAAAAAGAGAGACTGCTTGTAGTCTGGTTGTCATGTTTACTGTGGGAGCAAGAAAAGTAAAAAATGTTTTATTTCGCTTGATTATGATATCACTTGAAAAAAGTGTCTGGACTTGACAATTTCCGGTAAACAAAGTAATATTAAGGTCAGACCATGGTGAGAAGCCCCCTAATTAATTGTGATTGGTCATGCATTGACAGTTGATGTTGTCGGAGAAGTTTAGAAAAATTAATGGTGGGCGTAATACAGAAACACCAGCTCTTATAGCAGGCACTCCTTTTCCTTTTCCCCGCTTTCGTGCTTTTCCCCTCCCCCGTTCCCCTTCCCTTTTGCGCCTACCACACAGGGTACTAAAAGCACCAATTTTCTGCCGCTTGAAAACTTGTCCATTGTCGTATGAAGGTAGCCTACATTTGGGGTGAACAGGGGGCATTTGGGGTTGGAAGAGGGGTGTACGGATGTCCAAACAAAAAGCTTTCACTTAACAGAGGTGTCCGCAACAACACAGGTTCATTCAACAGAAAACAAGCGAGGGATAGTTTAGACAAATATGCATATCTGCTTAATATTGAAAGGGGTAGGAAGGGTGAGGGCCAAGGGTCTGCTAAATAGGCCAGTTTCGAGTTACAAAATAAATTAACAATTAATGAATGAGGCTGAGTATCTTATGAAGAATTATGGAGATCAAGGAGGGTGTTATCCGTCGAGGCCACAGGCCGAGGCGGATAACACCCTCCGAGATCTCCATAATTCTTCATGTGATACGAAAGCCGAATTCAATAATTGCTTTATTATTCATTCAAATAATTCCTAGTTTAAAAACAAAGCTAAAACAAGCTTACTCGCATCGATGTTAAGTTTATCTTTGATAGCTTACGTTTAGGTTTGTCCAGTTCCGCAAATATTCTCCAAATAGCAGATGTCACCCTTATAGCCATTATTTTGCCTAGTTCCAGCCGTAGTTCTTACTCTTGAAACGAGTGAAATGTCCACCATTTTAGTTTTTACAACGAAAACAACTCAATCTGGTCTCAAGGTCTTCTCGGTTAACGGTGCATTAACCTGTAGAAGGCTGCATTTTTGACGTCATTTCCTCGTTAAACACAAAATTCTTCCAAATTTGGTCATCAGTAACTGGTTATGGTGAATTATGCGTGTGCTTTTAGCCAATCAGAATCTGGGAAATATTTTGAATGAAAAATAATTATTGTTGTTCATTCCTGAATCTCAAGTGTTTTTTAGTTAGGGGGGGGGGGTGTACTGCCATATATGGGCTATATAGGTATGTGCTGCTGTGAAGGTAGCCTGCGGGCAGACGATAACTAAACTCTGATTAGTATCGTCTGCGAAGCAGTGCAGAGATCCTTGTTCTGGACTCCCAACGGACTCAACGAATTACTGGAAGTGCGTTTTGAATTTCCCTTCAACCTGATTGGTGATCACAACAAACAAAACAAAGGCCTTTTTTAACTGGCCAATAGTGGCGCGTACTCAAATCTGGGTACACAGCTGGAAGTCCAGAACAAGGATTTCGGCGCTGTTTCGCAGACGGAGTTAACCAGAGTTTAATTTCGTCTGCGCGCAGGCTACTGTGAAGGGTATCGTTTTCAAGCAGTTTTCTCTAGGATAGGGTATGTAAATCAGAGCGTTTGAGTCCAGAATAGGGTATCATTTTTCAGGAAACTGATCAGCTGGTTGAAGATTTTATCTAGACTAAGGATTGTGGTAATAAGGTTTTGTTTTGGCTAGACTACTGTGCTAATGACCTCAGTAGTTTCTGGAAAACAGCTACTCTAGGATAGGGGGGATTTGGGGTTGTTTCCTCTAATATAAGGTNAAAGAAAAAACTAAAGAAAACTGTATATAGACACAAAAAATATTATTACTGGATGAGAGTAGTTCAAAATATGATCAACAATCAAGAATTTAGGAAAAGGAAAAGAGGAAGAGAGTTAGGCTTCTACTCACTCATGATAACAAAGGCGCCCAGATATCGAGCCATGTCGCAGCAGGCTTCTTGCAGGTCTTTCGGAATGTTTTGAGGCTGCTACACAATTTTCTTGCTAATGAACCAGAGAATGAGTCAAGTTGTAAGTTTATCACATATGCTTGGAGTACCTCAAAGTTCAAAGACCGGAGCAGAGAACTTCCCTAAGAGCAATCGACTATGAGCGGTATCAACAAAAACAATCTGCGTCCCGGTTCACAGATCCCAGACGTAGTGTACCACGTGATAAGGTGAAAACGTCAGTGGGTCTCAGGGGTGGGGACTGCACCTTTTAATAGTCAAACGGAGAAAAACAACGACGACGACAACAACAACAAGCTGACTTGTTCTGCGGTCAAAAGAAAGATCTAATGGAGCCTAATTGTAGACCGAAAACATCAAGAATTGACATAACAAATGATTTGTATTTCCTAAGAAAATAAGTTAATGAAAAAACTTATAAAAACTACCCACAAAACTTCAGTCAAATATTCATAACAAGAAAACCTCCATATCAGTACAAATTTCCGGCCAAACCACTACATACACAATTCAAAATTCCAAGAAATCCAGTGTATGGCATAAACGTTTTAAATGCGCTGATTTTAATAATACGGATAAGGTTCTGACCCCTAACGAGGCGAGATATAAATCTATTGCTGGTCATTTTCCGTACCAATTTCCCGACAAGAAAACTTAACTATAGAAAAAAATGCCTTAAAAAAAAAAAAGAAAATGGGTAGATTTACTTGTATTGTAATTCCTTTACGTACGTTTGGCAATACCATGTTATAGTAGGTGTATAGAAATGGGAATTCTACTTTAATTAAGTTATAACAGAAACTCATAAGGGGTTGAATTCAACCCCTTATCAGTTTCTGGTTATAATTGTTTTTGGTTTCCACAAGGTTCTGTCCCAGTTCCTTATATATTTACCTCCCAACTTTTGCTAAGTCACACGCATGTGATTGTTTCTTACCCAAATTTCCGAAAAAATTATGACAACTTCACTAAAGACATTCCGATGACTTCGGAACATCCAAATATTTCGGAAGATGTTTTCGGGTATTTCGCCGGTGCGGGCAGGATATCAAATTTTCAGCCATCGGTCCAGTTTCTGTCCGTTATTAAGGGGTAGTGGAGTAGTTTCTTGGGGTTGTGAATGTCACAAACAAATAATACAATACAGAAGACTTAAGAGACACGGAGCAATACCCATATCACTTCACAAGGGGTACTACAGGGGCGTAGCTATCCGTACGCACGGTACGTACGTGCGTACGTGAAACAGTCGGGGGTAGAACAAATAGAGTGATTTAACTTGAACCGTGAAATAGGTAGTAGAATACTACGCACTATTATGCACTAAGTCTTTAGTCTTCTTTTGTTTACCTCACGCCGTTTTGCACTATTTGCTACTATCTGTTTCACGGTTCAAGTAAAATCACTCTATAAAAATAGTCTATACAATAAAAAGCGAACTATATGAAATAAGCAAATAAATGAAAAAAAAAGAAAAAAAAAGAAAAACACAACACATAAGTTTCACTAATTCATTTAACTCTGCTTGTTTCGCTGAAATATTTTTTTCTGAAACAACGAACTCTTTTCTTTCTTACACCCGAATGTCGGTTTCCAGCGACGCCACGCGTGGACCAATATATTTAGAGAGGAGGAGGGGAAAAGCGCAAGCAAGCTGGATGTATAAAGCGTGAAAACGTTGTTGCGGGGGGAAGTGGGGTGAGAGGGGAGGGGGGCAGCAGAGAGATTTGGAAAATTGTGCGTACCTCTGGAAAAATCCAGGCTACACCCCTGCAGGCTACTCCCAAAAAGCATACCTATTTCTAGCCTTCGGGTACATGAAAGGGTAGTGTTCCATGTAATATCTAAACTTGACGGTTGCAAGATCACATTATCCTCCTATTGACCAACTACGTAAATTGTCCCCGAAAAGCTTGTGGCAGAACCTCAGTTAAAGGTGCAAATTATGCTCACTACGATCGCGATCCAACGGGGAGGGGAAAGGGACGCGATTTCACTGGCTGCAGTATGTGAAAGGGTAGGTAAATCTGTCATTTCAGCCTGTAAAAGAACCTAAAAGGGTTAACAGACCTACCTTATGACTGTAAAAAAGACAAAAACACTTCCTGGTTTACTTTAGTGAGTTAATGATAATTAAGGTTGGACCTCAGCGATGAGCCTTCCCTTATTACAAACTTTGTAAATACCCATACGGATATTCTGCTCATATTTTACCAACTTCTTAGAGAGGGGTTCTGTACAAAATGATATTGGTTATAGGCACGGATCTAGGATTAATAGTGACCGATTTCCTAAACGATCGCCAAAGGTGCATCCTTCTAGGGAAGGGGGGGGGGGGGGGAGATCCGGGGCATGCACCCCCGCGAAATTGTTTGGATTTTGACTCCCCAAAGTCACCTTTCTTGGGGTTCTGAGTCATTCAGAGAAGATATTGGTTAGATTTTAACTTGGAAAGTTTTTCTTTTCATTAAAAATATATTTTTCATAAAATGGTGGAAACTTTGTGGTGTGGATCTGCTCCTGGGTTAAAAGAGTTGATACAGTGTAGTGTGCCATCATAACCACCTAGTAAAAATAACTTAGTCAATGAATCAAGACTTTTTATTTCCAGTATAATAAAAATTTACCTGTACAACCAAATGAATGTCAAGTAGTCAGGTCTTAATTTACATACATATTCTAAGCCCAAGCAAACTGTACAATAAAATTTTCAAGTGTTTCTTAGATCACTGCAGATCATCATCATCAAAAAGGTCATCAAAATCTGTTCAAAAAGAAAAAAAAAAGAAAGAAAAATAATACAACTTACTGACTGCAACCTTTTTGCAGGAAAATATGGCTTTTTAGTGGAAAATAGTTGTACCAGTGTGAACTCCATGCTGGGATTTGCTAAACCTTAAAAAGTGATAGACAGAGGGCCAGATTTCCTAATCTTCGATGATACAGCAGCAGCAAATAGTTGGATGTGTAAGTATACAGTCCCAATTTCAAGACCACTGCATTATTACAACCAAATACAGTCGACTCCTGATAACTTGAACCCATGCCAACTCAAAAGAAAGTCGATTTCCCCTGATTTCCTTCATACATTTACTGTTATTTTACCCTCGTTAACTCAAACCCTCGATAACTTGAAGCTCATGCTAACTCAAAATAATTTTTGTTTCCCTTCAGATCATTTCTAGATAATTTTACCCTCAATAACAAACTTGAACCAGCACGTGACAAGTAGGAAAAAAAAAACCGTGTACTGAAGTCTGTGACATTGAATTTATTTCAAAATAACTGTGTCATTTCTTTGTCTTTACTTTTTTGTCACCCCAGTTCAAAAGTTTCAGTGTCCATCCCTGTATACTTTGTTGCTTAATTGCATTCCCTCCCAATCCACTTGCTTATTTGCTTATTTCAAGTTATTTGCTTCAAACTCCCGATAAACTAGAACTTTTTTAAATTTCCCTAGAAGGTTTGAGTTATCAGGAGTCGACTGAAGTCATGGCCTAAATGAGGTTATATAATAATGGGCTTTCACTGCATTTATAGCCTGATCCAGGTGTTCAGATGGAAGAGTGCAGGCGAAAAATTGATGAGGGGAAAAAATACACGAGGAGAGACTAGAAACGGAAAAGGGGAGGGAATACCTGTAAAGATACCCTTACAGGGCTTTTTCTGCCCCTAACTGGCTGTCAACCACGTAACTGGAACATGAAGTGAATTGTGAATCAAATAAAGTATTGACAGGCTAAGCACAACTCATAAGCTCGTCACAGTGAGAAATGTGACCTTAGAGTTAGCTTTTAACAAACAGTAGCAGAGGTTTTCCTTCTTTTGATGGAGCAAATCTAATTTCTGCTGCTCTGAGTCTAACATTAAGAGGTCATGAAGCTGATTTATTTCATGCATATTGAGAAATTATTTCCTGCGGTTTACTTCTGACAGGATTTGATCCCAGATGCAGTTAAGTACTGATTTTCTTTGACCGCTGTTAAAGCCATATGCTTTTTCTTGCGGTTTAAAAACCAGCCAAATTACTTTTCCTTTAATTATGTCCATTATTCATGGAAAGATTTGAAAAGCTGCGTCAAATGAGATTCTCCAAGCAAATTTTCTGCTCATAATGAGAGGAAAAGATTTGGTGTGGAGGAAATGCTTGATTGCGTTGGTTATTTATTGCTTCGATATCCACGTAGCCTGTGCCGGTTTTTTTTTAGGGCAAAGGAAGAAATCGTGAGGACGTGTGCACGACCTGTAAAAATTATATTAATAATTATTATTATTATAACCATCACTTGCTATGCAGGCTAATATCTGCGTGATTCGATAGCAAATGTCTCTTCTCCTCCATGACGCATTCGTCATCAACATCACCAGTGTTTAGGTGTTTAACACCTTCTGTTAAAACAGAAGGTGTCATAATCCACTAATAAGAGGGTACTGGCATCCAGTATACTGGAACAATTTTTGTTAAGAATGTTTACAGGCGTTCCCTCCCTCTCGCCCCATTCTCCCCTCATTTTTTCTCCTCGTTTTCCCCACATACGATTAAACTCACTCCCCACCATCTGAACTCTTCACCCTACTGTCTGAATGCCTGGAACAGGCTACTGCATTTGTGGACTTGTATTGATAATGCAAATTACAAGAATGGAAATGGACAAAGCCTGGAAAAGGGCGGAGGGGGGGGGGGGATCTCATTTAAAAGTGATGGGGATTTTCCTTGTCTCAGAGAAATTGGAGATTGTGGTCTCACTTGCAAGGGTATTGCTTAGGGTAGTGCATAAAGAAATATCTACATGTAAGGTCCATACTAGTCTCCTTTAGGGGCTTTTATTCCCAATTCCTGAGGAGCATCCCCATCTCTTTCACACACCCCCACCTCCCCATCTCCCGGAGACAGGGCTGTCAACCCCCCACATCTTCAAATATTGAGAATTGATGGGGAGTGGGTGATAGATGATGTCATAATGCAGGGTACCTGACATCATTTTTTGAAAAAAAAAAAAAAACGCACAAAAAAGATGTTGTTTTAATTGTAACATTTGACCAGAAACTAATTGGTTTACTTCCCACCAATCACATTACTGCTTATATTACAATGGCATACCTGGGGTTTGTGAGGAAACGTTCAATGTTAACAGAAAAATAGCTCAAACAACGCAAAATATTTGAAATTTCATTGTCAAAGAGTCGAATCTACAAGAAATGGCAAACTTCAGCGATTATCCGGGAGATTTCAGAATATCTGGAGACCGGGAGAAACGGTTTAAAATCTAGAGTCTCCAAGATTATCCGGGAGAGTTGACAGCTCTGTGGAGAAGACACTTACTGTTGAAAAAGTCACCATGAACTGCTCTTTCATTCGCTGCTAATTCAATCATCATTCCCCCACCTGATGCCGCCTAGGAAGAAATAAAAACTGAACTAAAGACAATGTCTTTCGTGATAAAATGCTAACAATTGAAGCAGAGTCAGTACCTAGCAGACGAGGCTGTCAGTCACAAACTACAAAGCTTTATACAAAACGGTCGTTACCTCATCCATCTCCATCCAACCAGCATCTCCATCAGGAAACATTTCATCCTGAGCCACAACAGTGGGCTTCATTTTCGAATGTTTAACGTTAAAAGATTCAAATAGATGAAGCTTTGTGCTTCCTAGCTTGGAGCTGTAGAGAAGAGATCTCAAACATGAAGTATCTATACTTTTCGGTGCGTACCGCTGACAAGTTTTTGAGCCTGGCAAAAATACAACATGGCGAATTTGTGACAAGAGCTCTTAATAATCGTCTTGTGTCAAATCAGCGATTAGAAATGACTATTTATAACCTGTACATATTTGATCGCAATGGTACGTGCCTTTACTATGAGTCTTGGAACAGAAGAAAGGAGTCAAACTTGTCAAAGGATGAGGTACATTCGAGTTGTTTGTCCCTGATACTTGTATGTTGTATGTAACCCAACTTGTATCACTTTGTAATCTGGGAATAATTTCTTATTGTACATTCTTACAAAACGGGATGGCCTTCGTGTGCCACCCTAACATGTAAATTTTGTCCATCTTAAAGTGACAGCGGAATACCCTGAATATTTTCTATGAACCACCATACCTTCATATCTGGCATTTAAGCAATAGAAAACGTTTTCCGTGTTTGCATCGCCTGATATAAACACGAGAGGGGTTGGGAGAATTCAAGACAGTTCGTCTTGGGTTTGCATAACTGTCAAGAATTCTCCCAACGGCTCCCATGTTTATATCAGGCTATGCAAACACAAGTTTTCTATTGCTTTTATAAAATAACTTTCCCGAGAAAAAACGCAAAACTCTTTGTTATTGCACTGATTAAAAGAGAAATTCTTACCAGTCGCAAAGCCTTATCCACGAAGTCTTGCACGCGTAATCAGTTCTTGTTTTGCAAAAAGATGCTTTCCAAAACACGGATTTTTCTTGCTTAAAATGTCAGTAAGCGAAGAAAAATTAACACACCTTCTTTGTAACAATTTTTCAAGTTTCAGCCGACGAAGGAATGGTAAATAAAGTAAACTTGTTGAGTGTTGAACTCGAAAACTTTTTCAAATTCGTGCTTGCGTGATTAGCGCGCAAAAAGCAAAACATCTTGACGTGACTCTTGACGCCACAACCATGTTTACATACTCTCATGCAAACACTCCTCTCGGCCAATCAGAGCATGCGTACTATCTTAGTTATTTTATAATAAGCGATGTTGGCATTTTGGATACCCACTAGAGTCATTCGCACGTACCAACACTGAATGTAGGGGGTTGGCACAGTCTTGGTGCCATCCTTGGCAGGTTCAGGTAGGGGGTCTAGGGGTGCTGTGTGGATCCTCTCTTAATAAAGCCATCAGGATCCTAGCCTGTTCCAGGATCTCAGATAGTGGGGATGGCGTGTAATTGAAAGGCACCCAAAAATATGAGTGCCCGATCTGGGAATAAGGGGGCAGTGGCTGGAAAAAGGAAGGGAGAGGCCATTATAAGAAATTATTACAGGCTCTACCGCCCGTCTTCTCCCAAGTTCCTCTAATTAATATTTCGAGTTCATGCTTTCTCATGCAGACCCGACTATCTCAGAACCTGGAACAGGCTATCAGGGTCCAGTTGTTTTGTTCAAAAGGTGGATAACGCTATCCTCTGAATATATCTCTATTCAGTGGATAACACAATCAGTTTTCCTGATATTTTCGACTGCTGGACAGTGTTTTACCCACTGGATAGTGCTATTTATTTTCAACCAACCAGCGCAGATTATTGTTACATCTTTTTAGTGGTTTGAAACTGAAACTGCTGCAACATTTATGGGATATAACCATAAAGATTCAAACTTTCTTGCTCTAAAGTTTCTTTTTTTCCTTTTAGGAATTCAAGCTTATGTATGGTATGCTGTATTCAATCAAGTCATTTGTGGCTCGAATGTCTCCAGCAGAATCGTATCCTTACAATTTGTAATTAACCTGTAACACGGAAGTGCATGAGGACCATAATTGGTGCCTGTTGTACAGGCTACCAATCTGCCAGTCTTTACATGACTGAAATAGTGAAACAAGTTACTGTAAAATTCATAACAAATTAACTGGTAGTGAAAAAACAATGTAACCAGGTACGGAAACTTGTGCATTATTAGAAATGAAATTTATTTATTAGTTTATAAGACTCAATAATGCTGTGCTTCACCTGTTTTACTGTTCAGAAAAAATTAATAGTAGAGAACGCTGTTAGGCTAGAATAGAGGAAATGGCAAGTTATCTAACCTGTACTACAAAGTTGGTATGCAAGACTCCTCTTTTTCTTTCCTGAGATAGCAGGCTAGCAGGCTAATTTCATTTCTAATATTATTTTACCCTTGATTCAAACACAGAAAAGAAGGCTTTCTGAATTACAGAACAAGCAAATACAAACTACATTTCTATGAAACACCAACTGGTCTCAAATTTATTCTGAACACAGATTTGAATGTGGGAAGCACAAAAGATGTTCTCTTCAATATCTACAGCAAGGTGTGTAATGCCCTGTGTTTGTGGAAGATTGAGAGGGGTGGGGCACTTCCTAGTTATAGGTTAGTGGGGAGGTACTGTTAGATGGGCTCACATTTTCAACTTGAACAAAGCACATTAACGGTCATTCCACCCATGATACATTTATTACAGTCACGCCAGGTCAAGCTCCCGCCCCCCCAAGATTCCATTAACAAATTTATTATTTGAAAGTTGAATCCATTGGAAGTTGTAGATTTCAGATTCATCTCTGCATTCTTGCATGGGTAATGAACCGTGAATTCACACGTGAGGCAGTTTTGAAATTTTTACCAGCTCAGTTTCCCTGAATTGATGTAAATGTCTTTGAAGCAATTTTTTCTCTTCAAAGATTTTCAATCTGACCAAATACAGAGTATTTCTTTTAAATATTCACTACTCATTATGCATGCAAGAAGGCCAATTTGAATTTGATACTAGTTACAGGAACAACTTACCGGTAGTAATTGATTCATTATTTTTTCAAAAAATAATCAATTCATTAATAGAATCTTGGGGGGGGTATGCTTGACGTGCCTTGACTATTAAACAAAAGTTTAACATGTTTTTTGGTGCCAGGGAATTCCATAGTGAAGGTAAAACAGGAAGAGAGGAATTTGCGATGAGTGCCATGTTACTAATAATTATTATGGTGCCACAGTTACTTGTGCTGATTGTCCTCAATAACACTTCATCATCCAAAGTGTAAGCGAATAGGAGGTGGTTAAGTTCTTATGTTCATGTTTATGCATATTTCGTGACTGTTCCATCTAATGCACTAAAGCTGCTTGAATGTGTTTTGTGTAATCAGTGAGTACCTAGCCTGAGATTTAAGCATTGGTGATGTGACAGCTGGAAATATGTCTTCTTTATTTTGCAGGCTACTGCATACTAGGAACATTAAAGCTTACTGCAGCACTAGATTAGACACCAGCCCCATTCCAATTTTTTTTGGTCAATTAATGCTTAACACTTTTGGGCTTTTTATCCTTCTCTCTTCAGATTTATGTCGAATATGTGGTAAAAAATCCACTCTGTCGCCTGGATGAACCCATTCAAAGCGAGCTGTTTGCTTCCAAGTTGGATACGTTTATCCGAAGTTTGCCCATCTACAACTGATCAAGAACACGTTGACAGTTTACTTGTGTACTGAGCATTAAAAAAATAATGAAGCCAAGATTAGCATAAAGACATTTCTTGCAAGATAATCATACATGCCAGTTTATATTAACAGAATTAATCTTCTTTCAAATCAGCTATTAATGGAGAATAGTTCACAAATGCATCTCAGAAAACATTTGTCATGATTGAAGTTAACCATCAACTTAATGTTATTTTTAATATTACAAAAAAAAGGAAAATATTAAAATATGAGGTGCTGCATGTCACAATATGGGCTCGAAAAATCATGAAACATTAACAGGAATGAGTCTGCCCTCCTTTCCAGTCAACATTGTACAGTTTTGACATGCAAATAATCCCCAAAGCAAGGATGCTGGACAAGCGCAGAACTAGTTTTGTCAGTGGATCTAAACAAAACAAGACAGTTTTCTAGATGTTCCTTTCTAGATGTTTTATTGGCCAATAAAATAAAGGATCTAGATTTGCTTTTCTCCCTAAAAAATATATACAACAAAATAGCAAATACATCTTTGTGGAAACTATCTCCAAGCATTAGTCTTTGCCTGTTTTCCAGCCGGCAGAGGCTTCTTGTTTTCTTTTCCTTGTTGGCCTGTTTTTGCTGAAGGCTTAGCCCCATCCTGCACCCCTGGAGGACCCCCTTGGTATCTGAGTGGTGGTCCAAAGTGACTTGCAATTTGTCTAGGTTGCTGCTTGTTAGATTTGTCAGCAGACTTTGTAGGTTGGCTTCCCGGTGGGGGGATGGGGTGACCTGTAATGGAGGGCCCCCCTGTATGAGGTGCTTGAACCTGTTGAGAAAAATCAAGTACATTTACTGCTGTCCATCAAATAGGTGCAGTACCTTGCACATATGACAAAAACTTCTGTTTTCCTTTTAATGTGTTAAAAGTCCCGGGGGCAGGGGGGTACTTCAATTATAAGAGGCTAATGGGGATGTGTTGCTGGATTGGGTCGCATTTTCACAACTATAATGGTGTTGGATTTTCAATAGAGTTACTTGAATGGGGTCGCACATTTTCTGATTTTTGTGGTAAGACAGTTCTTCATATTTACCGTTAGCAAACGTACCAGAATGTTTGTATTGTAGGTGAAAAGTAAAGTGTTCTTCATTCAACAAAAACATTCAACACAAAAAAAAATAATAGAAAGTGACTAAATTGGGATCACAAAAATTACACATTTGCCCAAAGTGACTAAGATGGGGTCTATAATTGGCCACAGAATGGACTATAATGGGGTAGGGGCTCCGAGAGGCCAGTGGCACATACCAGCAAAAATTAACTCAAGTACCCCCCCCCCCCCCCCGGGGGAAAAAGCACCCCTTTAAAAAAGTTTAAAACCGAACCCCAGAGAAAAAAAGAAAAAGGGTTTAAATAAAAAAAATTTAAAAAAAAGAAAAAGGCCCTTTTTTGGGGAAAAAAAAAGGGTAAAAAATTGTTTGTTTTGGATCAATTAGGGTTTTTGGGAAACTCCCCCCTTCCCAATTCAAAAAAAAAAAAAAAAATAAAGAGTGATCAAATAGGGAACAAAAAAATTATAAATTGGCCCAAAGTAACGAAGAAGGGGGCTAAAATGGGCCAAGGAATGGACTAAAATGGGTTAGGGGCACCGAGAGGCCAGGGGGACATAACAGCAAAAATTAACTAAAATCCCCCCCCCCCCCCTCCGGGGTAAAAGTCACGCTTCTAATAAGTATTATAGCTGAACCACAGAGAAGACAGTAGAATGCGTTAAATGAACAAAATTTCAAAAGAAGGAAAAGGTCCATTTATGTGGAAAATCAAAGGGTATAAAATTAGTTGTATTGGATCAATTTAGGTTTTTGGAGAACTTCCCACCTACCCCTTCCCTAAGCTAACATTAACACTTAATCTCACTTAGGGCAAAATGTTGGCTTAGGGGAGGGGTAGGTGGAGAGTTGCTCAGAAACCTAAATTGATCATTGTGTTCACCACTTTGAGAAGGAAACTCGGCCGTGTGAACTTTTGCAAAGGCTTCTGGGACCGTCACTAGAGACAAGGAAAAAATTAGCCAATAGCTGAGCAGCGCATCTCCAGTAACGATCCCAGAAAGAATAAATTGCAGGATGCATTTCTGCTCCAATTCCCCTTCTCGTTTCTAAAGAGGTGGCCCAATAATAATTAAGGTTGTTAGTTAGGGATGACTTAGAGAGGTTTAGTACACAGGGTTTGTACTCTTTTGAGTTCTTCAAATTCCATGACTTTTTTCCATGACCTTTTCTAGTTTTCCATGACCTTATGTTTAGCTGTCACTTCGTAAATTTTCAAAACTTTACTTGTTTTAGCAGATTTTTGACCTTAAACAGTTCAACGGAAACAAACTCTGGTATCCATTAAAATGCGTGTTGTTCGCGCTGTTTAATTACTCCTTTTTATCTTACTTTATCATCTGCAGTAACCTGTGATCTGGCGTTTTTGTTTTTGATGGCAGGTTACATCTGTAGTAAATGATCTACCAAACAAAACTTTAATTTTCTATGACTTTCAAGGACCGAAATTAAATTCAAAATTCCATGACTTTCCAGGTTTTCCATAACCTGTACAGTGGAACCCTGCTATGAGAAAGTGCCACGGTACCGAAAAAATTGTTCGTTATAGGTGGTTTTCACGTTACGTCATCGCCGCCATGCTGGTGGACGGTAAACAAAAGATCGCTCATTAGCTCGCTTTGTTTGTCCACCAGCATTTGTTCATTTCACCATTGTTATTTGTGTCTCCCGAGATTGCATGAAAACCACCTATAGCGGAGTCTTCGCAGGGCTCGCAGTAAACTTTTTAGTGCACTTGCAAAGTTTTGCTAGTAGGATTTTTTTCCACTAGAAACTGGTGAGACCACTAGCAAATTCTTTCCCTTTGTTTGGGAGACGTGGATAATTCTAACTCGCAATCGTTTGCTAGTGGATATTTTTCTCACTCGCAGATTATCAAAATCACTCGCATTTTGCGAGTTTGCGAGCGTTAATTTCGAGCCCTGCAGACATGTAACCATTCAAAAAAGAAATAATGATTTGCAGCTCTGAGGCGAGTTGTTGGAAAATTGGATAACCCTATCTACTGAATAAACCTTTAATACGTATCCACTGGACAGTGATTTATCCGGTGAATAGCGCTATCCAACGTTTGAACAACTGGGGCCTGTTCACCAATACCGCGAATTCCGAGGGTGACCCGTTAAAACAGGTTTCACAATGAAAGGTTTGAACCCAGGAGTCATTTCATATGTAGGTTGTGTATGATCGTCAGGGTCAACGTAGTCCTGAATAGGACTGTTGTTGTTAACAGTGACTGACGTTTCGACAACCTGTGCGGTAGTCATCTTCAGATTAAAAGTGAGTTGTTTCACGTCAGTCAATTGTGTTAAACTCTGATTATTGACCTGATTGGTCAATCAAGTCGCGATGTTATTGGTCGTCTGTCAGTTGAGCCCTAATGTTAGTGGCTATGAGGACTCCTAAATGTCATTGGTGCATTTCGATTCGTCTATTGTCACAGCTAAATAGCCGTTTATGCTAAGTCAAATTGTCAATTGTCCAGTCATTCTCTCGTAGATAGATTTGCTGGAGTCCGTCGATAAGTCGTTTGTACGGTACCGGTCTCACTCTAATGGTCAAATATTAAGCAGCTTACATCATCTGTGGTCAGTTGGTTTCCTCCTTTCAAGAGATAAACACTTTTGTCAACAGCAGCGAGGGCAACCTGAGATCCTGGTGCAGCCGTGATAATGATTCTGGTGTTTTCTCCTGGTTTCCTCACGCTGTCGGCAAAGCGTAAATTCACCTGTAGAAAAATAAGTTCAGGCATAGGATGATTTTCATCACGTCAGGCCGAATGGTTAGAGACAGTGGGTCTAACTCAGTGGGCGGGGGAGGGGGGAAGGGGGCTACTCAACAAAGGTTTATAAGGTGAAGCTCCACCCCCGAGGTCCAACCCCTTACCTGTAGAAAACAAGTTCAGGTATATATACAGCTATTTCGAGAAAGGTTGTCGTAAAAACTGCACGCAACAATCCCGAAAAGTATTGTGGGTGGTTTTGAGTTCACTGTTCCTCAAAGAAATTTGAAAGAATGGCAGGAAAAGGCATGGACGAACGTTTGCGAGTGCTAAAGGAAAGCGTCAAAAAGGGAAGTGTAAAATGCAGACTGCGGACTGACTACGGGCTATTGTTTTTAGGGTTAGAAAACAATGGCACTATTGTTGTCACGTACTCATTTGTATGGTGAAAACAATAGTCCGCAGTCTGCGTTTTACACTGACCGGCTTCAAAAGTAGGTTCGACAGCTACAGTGTTGATCATATCCCATATTACCTTTGGGGATTGTCACGTGCACATTTTTTCCGACAACCATTCTCGAAATAGCTGTGTATGGTATTTTCATCACGTGGTGGCTCTAACCCAGGGAGGACGCATGCTCCCCCATGAAATCTTTCAAATTTAGGGGCTCAGACGAGCCATTTCCTGAGTTTTCCGCAGGACATTTTCGGTAAACAAATACGAAAGAACTGCCATACCGTATTTCCTCGAATAATATCCGGGGGTGATTATTTCTTCTTTCGCATCAAAAGGGGGAAAGGGGGTGATTATTCGAGGGAAGGCGATTATTTCAGTTATTGCTCACTGGACGCCGTGCCCAAAAAATATATATATATATATATATTTTTTATCCCATTAAATCAAGCAATTATCACATCAAATAAACTGAACATGGGCTTTTTAAGTGTTCCAAATTGGGTACCTGGATTAATTTTCAGTGCTTGAATAATCACTCATCAGTTTTGCTGGATCAGATTCCACTTCAACTTTACAAGGAGGGTATAAAAGAAAGAGAAGATGACGAGAGGGGTGGGGGGGCGATTATTATTCGAGGGAGGCGACTATTTTAAATATTTCCATAAAAGGGGGGCGATCATTCGAGGGAGGCGATTAATCGAGGGACGGCTATTCTTCAAGGAAATACGGTAGTTAGTTCTTTAATTTACATCTCTAGTGTTATCGGTAAGGTACAGCATTTACGGAAAAGAGGGTAAAACATTGACGCCCTCAAGGAGGTTATACAGGCAAACGGCGAGACGTGTACCCTTCAGACGGGCAAATACACCAACATAATGCGAAAGATTTATCAATCCTCCCGATTTAATAATAAAAATGTTTTCAGGAAATGAATTTTTTTTTTTTACAGATTTCAGCGATAANAAGATAGAGTGCTTTTCACTTGACTGTCGAAAGGGATTGGTTTTGGTTTTGGTTTTGGTTTTACTACGCCCTTTGGTTGGCTAGTGTATTTACTTTGGTTTTGGTTTTACGACAGTCAAGTGAAAACCGCTCTAAAACAAAAGCTTTTTGGATACAATGTTTCTCCAAACAAAGAGAAAATGGTTAAAATCAAAATAATACAGATTTGTAT